ATGTTGTCACGACCTAATTCCACCTATAGGTCGTGATGACACCCAACATCACAGCTAGGCAAGCCAACTAGTGAATTAAACATATATTTCCTCTTTTAATAAATTTTTGAGTAATTAAACTCTTCTTACTTGCAAGATTTAAGAAAAATATAAAAGGTTCTGATTAAATAAAAATCAAGAAAATAATTCAAATCACAATTCTACTAGTGTGTGTGCCAAGACCTGGTGTCACAAGTATATGAGCATCTAGTAGGTTTTACGAAAATTCTAAATACTGTCTGAATATAAAATAGACAGAAAACAAAATACAAGGAGAGGCATTAGTTGCTGCAGAATAGCTCAGAAAAGTAACTCACCACTAAACCTCGGGATAACGTGGATGCGCACCGGTAGGACAGCCTAAGGTTCCTATCTAGCATGAGTACGTAAATAACGTGCACCCAGTAAGTATCAAGTCTAATCTCGAAGAAGTAGTGACGAGATGTCGACTTTGACACTCACTATGGGTCAATAATATTAAAATAGAAATATTTAAATAAACATGGTTTATGTGAATCACAATAATTTTCTTACCAGGTGGAGATAAATAACTTTTTCAAAATTCAATAATTTCCAACAAATCATTTATCTTCACAAGCTGCAATAAAATGTCATGGCATCGTGTAATTATTATTATTAAGCACAATTTATGCCGAGGTTGTACGGCCCGATTCAGAGTATCGTGTACACTGCCGAGGGACGTGCGGCACGATCTATAGATGCATCTATCTATTGGCGAGGTGGTCGACCCACTCCACAAGAAGAGAAGGAATATTTTTATAAGCATTTGACTTAAATATTAATGAGGTGTTATATAAAAATAATACGAATTGCATTAGCAGTCTTTCACAATTTCTCCAACAAATATTAATAAAGATAGGCATTTTAATTTAACAAGTATAGTGCAAGAATTCCAAGTAATTCATGAATTGGGTCTTAAAACTACCCGAACAATAGCATAATAGTAGCTACGCACGGACTCTCGTCACCTCGTACGTACGTAGCCCCCACAATTAGGAGCAAATATTTATTTACAACACCTATAGGGTAAATTCCCTCTTACAAAGTTAGACAAGAAATTTACCTTGTCTCAAAATTCACTTTCCGATCACAATTTCGCGTTAAAGCCTCAACTGGGTGCCGAAAAATTCGAAACTAGCCAAATATTATATAAAATAATTAATACATGCTTAACAATTTGAAATTAGAGTATTAGATTAATTACCCAACCTAAATTGATAAAATTCCTAAAATTTACCTCGGGCTTACGTGCCCGGATTCCTAAAATTTTCGGAGAAAACTGTTACCCATTATCTCAAGAACTCAAATATACAATTTTCATCCTATTCCATAAACATTTTCGTGGTTAAAATCTCATTTTTATCAAAACCTAGATTTTTCATCTAAACCCTTGATTTTCACAATTTACATGTTATAATCTACCCATAATCTATGTATTTAACTCACAATAGATAGAATTAACTTACCTCCAACTTGTTAGGTGAATACTACTCTCAAAAAAAGCTCCAAAATCCCCCAAGAGAGGAAGAAATGGGCTCAAAAATGGATGAGCCCCTTTTTAAGGCATTCTGCCCAACTCTACTGACCCCTTCTTCGCGAACGCGACATGTGCCTCGCGTTCGCGAAGGCAAAATTCCACAGGCCATAAAATGCCCTTCGCAGACGCGATAGGGGTCTCGCGAACGCGAAGGTTGGCATGGTCTGCCCTTCGCGAGCACGTGAGCTCCTTCGCGAACGCGTAGGGTAATTTCACCCTGGACCCAGCCCTCATACGCGAACGCGTAGGCCTAAAATTCAAAGCTTCGCGAACGTGTCGCCCTTCACGCGAACGCAAGGGCAATTGCCCAGCTCTCATTTTCCTTCATCGCGAACGCGAGAGTTCTTCCGCATTCGCGAAGAAGGAAACCAGAACTGGAATTTCTGGTTTTTCCAACTTAGCTCCTAGTGGTTTAAACTCACCCGAGCCCCCATCCAAATGCGCCAACAAGTATGTAAACATAATACGGACTTGCTCGAACTCTCGAATTACGTAAATTAACAACGAAGCTAAGAATCGCACCCCAAAACCGAATTGGATCAAAATATAAACTTCAAGTGTCTAAATTCCTCCGAACGCGCTGAATCATACTTATACTACTCGGAATGATACAAAATTTTGCGTGCAAGTTTTAAATCACCATACGGAACTATTCTTAAGCTCTGAATTCCAAACGAACCTCGATTACTCCAAAACGTACTCCAAACCAAATTTAAAGAACCTTAAAACCCTCAAATAGCTAACTTTCATTATTAAGTGCCGAAACGCTCTCGAGTTGTCCAAAACCCGATTCGAACATACGCCCAAGTCCAAAATCATCATACGAACTTATTGGAACTGTCAAATCCTGATTCCGAGGTCGTTTTCTCAAAATGTTGACCGAAGTCAAACTTGGCCTTTTAAAGCCAAACTAAGGAACCAAGTGTTCTGATTTCAACCCGAATTGTTTTTCAAATCCCGAACTAACTATCCCCGCAAGTCATAAAGCAGTAAAAATACATACGGGGAGTCTTATTTAGGAGAACGGGGTTCTAGAAAGCAAAACGACCGGTTGGGTCGTTACAATTTCAACTATGAATATTAAGAGAGAAATAGAAGAAATCACTGGATGCGACAGTCTCCAAGTTCTTATATCGAAGTAGTACTACTGAGTACTACCTCTATTTTTGTTCTTCGCCACAGCTAAACGGTTAAAGAGATTCATGAAAGAAGTTGTTCTGATGATTTGTGGATGGCTTCATTCTGAATTTCAGGTAAGCAATTGGGTCATCTACGAGCTACTGTCTGGAGGATGCAAACATCATTTTAGTTTCGTAATTTGCTGAAAAGCTACAACTATTTTTTCCATGGATCAATGTGTATGTTTCATTATAATGCTACTGTAAGGGTAAATTTGTGAAAGTGCTAGAATAGAACTTGTAACTCCGATCCAAATTCATTTTTCTTTTGTCTGAATGTAATAATGCAACCTTCTAGAATCTTCCCATATTAAGGACCCGTTTGTCCGTCGATATTCTTTTCTTTTTTTCGATTTGTTTTTCAAAAACGTATTTGTCCATGAAATTTTGCAAGTCTCTGCAAATTTTTGAAAATGAAAAATCACTTTTTTAAAATTTTTTTTTTCCCCATTCACGAAACTGCAATATTTTTTCAAGTGAAACGTATGTTCAAAAATAATTTCAAATTTCAAATACTAATTTTCAACTTAACTCCAAATACTACTTTCCTTTTTTCAAAATTTACAATTTTTATGTCCAAATGCATACTAAGAGACAAGATGACATCATGTGTTTTCAAGAATTGTTTTGCCATCTTAGGGGAGGAAAGTGGAAACTATCACAATGGGACAAGAACCGAATATTAGAAGCATTAGATCTCCATATTTTTGAGCTAATTTGTGTATATATGTGAGGAGGAGGACCAAGTTGATGCAAATTGCCAATAATTGGCCATGGATTTGGACCTGGTGGATGCGCAGTTCGCCCTACAGCTTCTTTTATTCACAAATTTGGAAAGATAAGCTACTGCTGCTATGAAAGAAATTACCAGGACAAGCCAGTTCCATTTTAAATGGCAAGCGGTTCAAGTTATGGCTATGAGACTGACAGGAGGATGCTTGGTATTCGTATTAGATGAAATGGGTAAACGTACTCAGAAAGGAAAAGAATGGTCTTCAAATGAAAATTGAAAGAACGCTAACTGATTATTACAGATACTATTGCAGAATTAAAGAAGTAACATAAATTTACAGGAGATGAATGAACCGTCCAAAATGTATCATAGTTATCTGCAATTGCCTTCATTTTCCTTATATTCTCCTATTAGGATTTACTGAGCTGACGGTCTATCGGAAATAACTTTTCTATCTTCACAAAATAGGAGTAAGGCCGCGTATATACTACCCTCCCCAGACTTCACTTATGAGATTATACTGATTTTTTTTTTTTTTTTTTTTTTTAATTTTATTTTGTCTTGGATCAATGTGTATGTGTCAATGTTGTAAGGACAAATTATTATAGTGCTTATTTGTGGTTGTGAAGATTTGGTTTGAATGTAACAATGCATCCCTTTAAAATCTTCGCAAATTAAAAATTACAAAAGAAAACACGCTCATAAACAAAAAAGAGTTTAAGTTCTATGCGATGTGTAAAAAAATATTTAAAAGCTGTAAATTCCCTGCTCTATTTCCACTGTCTGGGTTTCTTACTAGGAATCTTTTTTAACTTTGAAGTTGAGGTTACAATTCAACTTCCTATATTGTTAGTCTCTGAAAGGTGAATAATCTTGATAGTCGTTAATAAATGCAGGAGTTAGAGCCTGCAAATTTTCGGCGGGTTTTAGTTTCAACTAATTTGGATTTTGGATTAAGGCTTAGTTATTTGTCTAGTTCTTACACTTAACATTAGATCAAGGAAAAGAATGATCTTTACATGAAAATGAAATATGCGAACTGATTATTGAACATAATACTATTAAAAAAGTGACATAAATTTACAGCAGATGAATGAACCATCCAAAATATGTTCATAGTAATATAGATGATAGATGATCATTCCGATTCATAAACAAATTTTTGTCAAACTGATTGAACCACATGATATGTATAAATTATACTCCTGGTAAATATTGAGTCGAGACAAAATAAAAGTATAGATTATAATTTCAAAAGAAAATGGGATAAGCTCTTGACCTAGGGACAGCACTGCTTGGAAATAAACCATATAATATTTGTCAGCAATTTTTTAAAACTTTTGAAAGTAGTAATAAAAAATTATAAAGTCGAAACAGCTTAATTAAAATAAAAAGGAAAGCTAGCAAAAGGACAGGCAATAATTTCAAAAGAAAATGTGATAAGCTCTAACCACTCCCACTCCTCCGTTTAAATTAGAATTTTCTTTCTAGCTGGAAGCAACATTGTTCTTTTTTTAAATTAAACATAAAATTTTGCAAGTGGAAAGCCATTTCTCGGTGGCTATTTCAAGTTAATTTAGTTTTCTTTGTATATCAGTATTAGTTGACCAAAGGGAAAGATCTGTGAGAACTTTGAAGTTCTTTGTATAGTTTGCCTCTTCAGGACTTGAAAAACTGAAACAAAATTCTGGTATCAGGATCCTAAGTGGAGCAACTAATTAAGCAACTAATCTCTTGTTGCCACTCTCAGTAACGGAAGATGATTTCCCGGCGAAGGTCGCAGTTTTACGGTGAGTTTTCTCGCAGAAAGTTAAAGGAAACCAAAGGAACATGAAGCCTTGTCGACAAATTGATCTTTCCCCTTTTACTCTATCTTACATATTATGACTCTTTTGTGCTTATATACAATTTTGATAATTATTCTGTTTTCAAGCTAAGCTTTGTCCTACTCTTTTATCTAATTGTATAAACTGGGCGTGGACAAGAGTGGGTTGCTAGTGAGCACCCTCCACTTCCAACCAAGAAGGTTGTGAGTTCGAATCACCCCAAAAGTAAGGTTGGGAGAGGGAGAGGGAGAGGGAGAGGGAGAGGGAGAGGGAGAGGGTCGAGTTTCTATCGGAAATAGTTTCTCTAGCCAAGGGTAGGGGTAAGGTCTGCGTACACACTAACCTACTCCACTAGTGGGATTATACTGGGTTGTTGTTGTATAAACTGGGTTGCTCTGTTCTAAGTTGTTCGTTTACACTAACCCACTAGGTTTAAATTTGTGTTCACGCTTATAGCTTTTCTAAATTATCCCTCTATCAACTTTCTTTATCAAAAAAAAAACAGTGCACTTTCTTTTGCAATTACACTAGGTAGATCATCATTCAATCCGATTTCTTGAGCATTTTGATGTGAATTTCTTAAGTGATATTCACACCTTCTAGTTTCGTTTTTACTTTATGAGAAGCTCAATGTTCGTTGTTTTCCTTACAAGTTGTTCGTTGTTCTTATCCAAAATACTTAATAACTAGGAAATTTCCTTATGTTTCCTTTGTCTCCTACCGCAATTCAAATAATTTGAACATGAAAATTTCATAATATTTTCATCAATTTATTTTGAAACTTGTAACTTCAAAATATTTCCTTAGTTCCCAATCCTGGACGTTGAAGGCAACTCTTCGATTTCATCCTACTTTCCCTCTTTCTTCTATTTATCTTTTTATTTTTATTTAAAAAAAATAAAATTTAACCGATTACCAAAAGAAAGGCAAAAAAATTCTGGTGGGAAATTTAATGCTAAATTGCAGGCTTTTAAAATGTAATTAACCTTTTGCAAAATTATCAATATTTACTTACTTATATGGGTGTATATTTAAAAGACACTTCCATCCTAAGATGGAGAGATATATATTACTAAAGTAACAACAACAACATATCCACCATAAGTGAGGCCTGGGAGTATAGTGTGTACTTATGTCTTTCGGCTCAAGAAAAGGTGAAAAAGGAAAAGAAGGGAAGAAGAAAGAAGAGGGATACAAAAATCTAATGAAAAAGGGGAGAAAAAAGGGAAGCCAAAAAAGAAAAAGTAGCATCAAATATATATTACTAAAGTAAAAGGGAGAAATAAATGGATAAATATACTCACAAACACATGTAAGGAGGGGCAGAGGACCTGGAATGCCATCAGTGACTGGAAGAAAATATCCAATAGAGGTTAATTTATACCTTCAGTTATAAATTAAGATTTTGAAGCTTTACTCTTTTTATTCATCTTGAGTATAAATTGGTGGTCTACTGGCCTTTAGACACATGAGACTTTACTTGTGGTACGACTTTATTACTATTATTTATTTATTTTTGGATTCTTTCTCTAAATTATGAAGAATGTTAATGTTGTTTTGATTTCTTTTATGAAGGTGACAGAGTTATAACTCAAGGCAGTTAGATTATAGTTACCACAATTGTGTGAAAGACACTAATTAGCGGTAGTTTTCAACTATTGAGATGGAGATTGTTGAGACATGTGGAAAAGGGACTCTTTCTTCTGCAGAGCCTTCCACCAAACGTAGTTTTCCATCAACTGATGATGAAGTTGTGGGCTTTGTGAAAGATGCAGAAAGTATAATGAAGAAATTAACCGGTGGAGCAAAGGAGCTAGACGTTATCTCAATCTTTGGAATGCCAGGTCTTGGAAAAACAACTTTGGCCAGGAAAGTGTACGACAATCCTTCTATAGTTAATTACTTTGATGTTAAAGCTTGGTGTTCTGTTTCGCAAGCGCATAATAGGAGGACATTGTTGATTGAGATTTTCAAGCAAGCAACACGTGATAAGAGCGAAATCGATGAGGCTGTTGACATAGCTGACAAGTTGCAGAAGACTCTTAAAGGCAGGAGATATCTCATAGTATTAGATGATATATGGGAAGTCGAGACATGGGAAGATCTGGGATTGTGTTTCCCTAAAGGTGAAGATGGAAGCAGAGTAATTGTAACAACTCGAATTGAAGAAGTGGCTAAGCATCTTCAGCACTGCAGTGATCCTTATTCTCTTAGATTTCTGACATCGAAAGAGAGTTGGGAATTATTGCAGAAGAAAGTATTTCGAGGAGAGAGTTGTCCACCCGATCTACTGGAAGCAGGGTTACATGTTGCGGAACATTGTAAGGGGTTGCCTCTTGTGATTGTACTGATTGCTGGAATTATTGTGAAAATGGAAAGGAAGGCGTCCTTGTGGCTGGAGGTTGCTAATGACTTAAGTTCCCTTGCTTTAGGAGAGCAGGGTATGAAGGTAATACAATCGAGTTACGACCAGTTAGAAGACCAATTAAAGCCTTGTCTTCTGTACATGGCATTGTATCCAGAAGACTATAAGATTCCAGTGTCTGATTTACTTAAGTTGTGGATGGCTGAAGAGTTCGTAGAGAATATTGACTCAGAGAATATGGAGGAAACATCTAGAATTTTGTTGAATGATCTACTTAAGAGAAGCCTAGTGATGGTCTCTGGCCGACAGGAAATTAATGGTGCCATAGAATACTGCTCACTTCATGATTTAGTGCGTGAGTTTTGTTTGAGAAGACTTACAGAAGAAAAGTACTTTATGCAGCTGACAGTGCCATACAGTTCAAATCAACAATTGTATTCCAAAGAATCACGGTTATGCATTTATATTCATGATGAACTTGTTAAACAATTAGATCATTATGAATATCGATTGGATAAGATTCCAATGTTCGAGTCCAAGCAGTTAGATTGTTATGAATATCATTTGGACAACATTCCAATGGTCAAGTCCAAGGAAACAAAGCGCTCTGGTCAATGTCCAAAGGTTTTTCAGTTCATTGCTCATCCAAAATCCAACATATGGAACCGATCAGATTCTTTGCATTCACCTGTTAAACTAAGATTTGTTCAGGCATTGCATTTGAATGAAAGGGAATTACCAAGTTCCTGGATTACGGCAGTACAATCACTATCTCACTTGAGGTACCTTGCAATTTGTGTCGAAAAATTTGATTTCAAGTGGGTATCACATCTACTCTAGCTCCAAACTCTAGTGGTAGATTATTCAAGATATCCATTCAGGACATCGACTGCTGCATTCTGGAAAATGACAAAGCTAAGGCATGTGAATATAAACGCATTTATCTTTACGGGCGAATGGGATACTAAAACTGGTCGACCAATTTTAGAAGAACCTTCAGAAAGTACGCTAGAGAACTTGAAGACATTGCGCAGTTGTCGTGTTGCTGTGAGCGATGCGGCTCGGAAGGTCTGGTGGAGGTGTCCGAATCTTGAAGAACTGAGTCTCGAAATTATAAGTGTACCTAGTTGTTCTTTGTTTCCCATACCAGAACTTCATACTCGGCTTCAATCTCTTAAACTAGATGCCTTATGCTCATATGAAGATGAATATACAGTTGAATGGTCCAGCTACATTGTCTTCCCTTCAAATCTTAGGGAGTTGTGCATTCGGAACATTTTTCTAACGGAAGAAATAGTTTCAAATATTGCAAGACTGCAGAAGCTTGAGAGTCTCGAAGTATATAGAGGATATCTTGTGGGGAATGATCAGTGTTTAGACGTCAGATATGTCGAGTTCCCTGCACTCAAATTCTTCACATTATTTGTGCTCTTTATGGAAGAATGGAAAGCTTCAGAGGAATCATTTCCCATGCTTGAGAAGCTAGTTATACAATATTGTGATGACCTCGACGAGATCCCTCCTAGCTTTGCCGATATTCCAACACTCCAACTTATTGAAGTGGATAACTGCATGGACTCTGTTGGGGATTCAGCTATGGATATTAAAAGAGAAATAGAAGAAAACACAGGCTGTGACACTCTCCAAGTTCTTATATCATAGGACTAGTAAAGCTGGTAAGTGTTGCTCCATCAGATATGGGAAACAATTTTTAGTAGCTCTCTCAATCGTTTGTCATTTAATTTGTAGGTGTAGCTTTTTTGCAATAATGGACTTCATTTTCCTAACAGACTCCGACACATCCATCCTCGGGTCTGCGACCTTCTCAACAGAGGAAACAAAGTAGCTCAACCGTTGTTATTTTTTGTTCTGCGCCATATCTGAGCATTTGTTAATGTGATGAAAGGAATTCTTCTGATTTCTGGATGGCTTCTTGCTGAACTAATTACTTCCAGCTCAGAATGCAATTAAGCCAACTATGAACTAATGTATGTATGTATGTTGCTTCAATCTTATAATGCTGTTATAAGCAGAGTCATCACTCGTCAGTCAGACTCGATTAATATGTGAAAGTTCAAGACTACTCATAGGCATTGAACATACTCATAGGAGCTCAATTCGAACAAATTAAATTCGGAATTATCATACCAACAAATCAGCAGCTACAGACGCAATATGTATTATAGTAAAATTTTGCAACGGAGTTAATAGCTAAAAGTAAACTAATGATGGGGATCAAATACTTGTTTTGTTTATCGTCCTGTTTTTGGACACGAAATCTGACCTTAAATCGTGAGCTTTATGGCTCAAGTTAAATCTGAATAGTACCTAGGTCAGCTTTGTGATGATCACGAATCATTCATGAGAGTGCGTGCACATTCAATTTCTCTATTCTTTTTCTTAATCTTAGATCTAGAATAAGATATACTCTCCGTTTCAATTTATGAGAACTTATTTGACTCAATTTATGAGAACTTATTTGATTGGGTACGAAGTTTAATAAAAGAGATAAGACTTTTGAACTTGTAGTGTAAAATGAGGCACATATATTTTGTGTGGTTATAAATCATTGCATAAAAGTAAATTGTTTTCAAATAAGGAAAGAGGTCATTATTTTTGACACGGACTAAAAAGGAAATATGTTCACACAAATTGAAACGGAGGGAATATTAAGTTTACTCTAACTCTAAATTATTACTTAAAACCAAATTTTACTATAATCTTATTATTCAAGCACCACCAACAATGTATTCTAACTCTAGAATGAGTCATTAATCTACAAAATTAATCTATTTAATCTTGGGAGTTGGGAAGTAAAATTGGACAATCATCTTTGAATTGAAGGTAGTACTCCTTATATTTAATTTTTGCAGAAAACCGTAGAGTATAGTACAATTTTCAATTATATATTACACTTAAGTCGCATATCATGTGCGAGACGTACATACCATTATGTGATTGGGAGTTCTAAATTGTAGTCAGATCTAATCTTAAGTTTGTATACCTTCTTAACGTGTAGGATTAATTAACATGTACTCCATTTATTTGTTTACTCGTTGATATTCCCGCAACAAAACTATTTATATCACTCTTCACTCTTCAAGATTGAAGTCTACCATCTCATATCCTATATATTCTTTCTCATTTTTATTTCTCTATATCTAAACCCAAGCCATCAAATTAATCAAACTTGGAGCAATTATGTCACGACCCAAAATTCAATTAGTTGTGATGACACCTAACACAACCCGCTAGGTAAGTTAACTAATAACTATCCAATTCCAATAATATTTAATTGACTCTAATACATTCCCCAAGGACTGGTAGTACAAATCATGAGCTTCTAAGATTAGAATTTACAAGCTGGTAAGAAATAAATATATTATCTGTTCGAAATGTACATAAAAAGCTGGTAAGAAATAAATATATTATCTGTTCGAAATGTAGATAAACGGATTTTTTTTATAAATCTAAGGCTACCATGAACAAAAGGCAGCTATGACCGGAACACAGGTACATCTTCAAATCCAGCTCCCGTCGATCACAGCAACATCAGCATCCAATATCTGCACGCAAGGTGCAAAAGTGTCAGAAGTGTAGTATGAGTACAATCGACCACATGTACTCAATAAGTAACAAACCTAACCTTAGGTTGAAAGTAATGACGAGCTAGAACACAGGTCAGGATCCAACACCAATAGCCAATAACAAGTCATAAAAATATAATGAAAATAACACCAGTAATAACTCAACAATAAATGCTCAGCTTGTTCCGGAAAATAAATATTTTCTTTTCAGTTATAACAGTAAAACTCAAATCTTTTTGCCGAAATCACCAAAATATGAGTACGTTTTGTAAAAACTTTATTTTTCTCGCAAAACTTTTCAACAACAGATAGTATGTTTTATTTTCAAATGGCATGAGGAAAATACATCTATATGCCCACATGTCAATGAGGATGTGAAGTCATGAATGGCGTCATATCGTACAGCATGAGGAAAATGCATCTCTATGCCTGTATGTTAAGTGTGCATGATAATGATATGCAACTCAGTGATAAAACCATATGCATACTCTCAGAGTATCAATTCACTCAGTCCTCCCAATCACTCAGTCCTCACAGTCATTCAGTTTTTCCAGTCACTCAGTCCTCACAGTCACTCAATCCTCACAGTCACTCAATCCTCCCAATCGCTCGTGTCATGACCCAAACTCCCTCCGTATAATGTCGTGACGGCACCTAGTCTTTACGACTAGGTAAGCCTAACAAATTGCTAAAAATAACAAAACGAAAGTAAAACTTGGCAATTAACAGCAGTGGATAACTGAATAACTAGTAACAATGTCGCTCGACATGTACAATAACTAATATTATATAAATATACAGTCTTCCCAAAATCCGGAATATCGTAAGTCACAAGCTACAAAAGGAAAACAACATCTCTATACACTAGAGTCAAATAAAAGAAATACAGGAAGTGTTTGACATAGGGGAGAATAGAGGGGGACTCCTAAGTCTGCGAACGCGAGCAGATGTACTTTGAAGTCTCCGGAACAGCAGCAAATGCACAACTAATAGCGAGGCTGGTATGATGAACCTGGATCTGTGCACGAAAACATGTGCAGAAGAGTAGCATGAGTATACCACAATGGTACCCAGTAAGTGCAGAGCCTAACCTTGGTCGAGTAGTGGCGAGGTCAGGTCAGGCTCACTAGTAAATAATAAATAAGGCAGGAGAATATACAGTATAATGAGAGACTAGAATTTAACAAAAGGAGACACATCAAGGCAACAGTAAAACACACATGGGTAAACAGCAGGGGATTTTCCGAGATACCATCTCGTAGTCCCAAAATAAATATACAGGAAGAACTCTCGAGGTACCGCCTCGTAGTCTCAAAAGTAAATGTGCAGGGAGAACTCCCGAGGTACCACCTCGTAGTCTCAAAAGTAAATGTGCAGGGAGAACTCAAGAGGAACCGCCTCGCAGTCTCAAAAGTAAACACACAACTCAAACTGATAAATACAACAGTTAACAGCAAGATTTTTACAATTATACTGATAAAGAACAAGGAAAAACAGGAAATCAACTAGGCATGCTTCATAGAGTTTAAATAAGTAGTTAAAGCACGTAGACATGCGATATTAGAATGAACAGGATAACTACATATATTGGAATAGCTCAATTAAGAATGAAAACAGACTAATACGCATTTAAACGGTATAACTCAAATTAAAGGGAAAACAGGTTACTACTTAGTAAAATAAATCAGGTTTTACAACAAATATCTCGTGCACGTACTCGTCACCTCACGTACACGGTGCTCACATATCACAATAGTACCAAATCCTAAGGGGATTTCCCCCACACAAGGTTAGGCAAGTCACTTACCTCGAACCAAGCTCAATCAATCGGTAACAATGCCTTTTCCACGAATATCCGACTCTGAATGGTCCAAATCTAGCCAAAATCAATTACATACCATAAATACAACTATAAGAAACTAATCTATTTAATGAAATCAAAGCTAAAACAAGAAATTAGAAAATCGACCCAAAAAGCCTCCCTAGGCCCACGTCTCGGAATCGGGTAAAGGTTATAAAATATGAACACCCATTCACTCACGAGTCCAACCATATAAGAATTACTCGAATCTAACCTCAAATCGCCTTTCAAAACTAAAAATTTTAGTCTAGGAAGTTTCTACCATTTTCCCCCAAATTTCCAACTCAAATCCCTAATTAGATGATGAAAATAGTAATAGATACATGAAATATAGTCCAATCCGGGTTAGAATCACTTACCCCAAAAATTTCCTTGAAGAACCCTCGAAACATCGCCTCACACCGAGCTCTCAAAGTCCCAAAATTGAAAATGGAAATCAAACCCTCGAACTTGACCTTTTTTGCCCAGTGATTCCGCATCTGCGAACTACTAGTCGCACATGTGACGCCGCACCTGCGAAATTTCCATCGCAGGTGCGGAGATGGCTTAAGGTCCAAAGATCCGCTTCTGTGGACCAGGGCACGCACCTGCGGGCCCGCTTTTGCAGATGACCTTCCGCATCTGCGACTCTGCCCAGGCCGCCCATTTTTCGCTCCTGAGGTTAATCCTCCGCATCTGCGGATGCGCAGATGCGGCTCCCATTTCGCACATGCGCTCACAGACCAAGCTTGACCAAACCGCACCTGTGCTCCTCCTTCCGCACGTACGATCCCACACCTGCGGTCTCCCCTCCGCAGGTGCAAAAACACGAGAAACCAGAAAATCTTCAGCAACTAGCCTAAGTCCAAATTCAATTTGTTAAGCATCCGAAACACACCCGAGGCCCCCGGGACCTCAACCAAACATACCAACCAGTTCTAAAATACCATACAAACTTAGTCGAGACCTCGAATCACATCAAACAACGCTAAAAACACGAATCACCCTCCGATTCAAACTTAATGAACTTGAAACTTTAAATTTCTACAACCGATGCCGAAACCTATCAAATCACGTCCGATTGACCTCAAATTTTGTACACAAGTCTTAATTGACATTATGGACCTAATCCAACTTCCGGAATCGGAATCCGACCGCGATATCAAAAAGTCCACTACCAGTCAAAATCTCTAAAAATTTGACTTTCGCCAATTCAAGCCAAAATCAGTTACAAACCTCCAAAACACAATCCAGACATGCCCCTAAGTCCAAAATCACCCAACGGAGCTAACGAAATCGATGAAAATCCATTCTGGAGTCGTCTTCACGCAGTCCCGACTCCCGACTACGGTCAAAATCCTAAGACTTAAGCTTTTGTTTAGGGACTAAGTGTCCCAATTCACTCTGAAACCACAACAACAACCTCCCGGCAAGTCACATAAGAAGAAAACGATACGGGGAAAGTAGTAAACAGGGGATCGAAATCAACTAGGCATGCTTCATAGAGTTTAAATAAGTAGTTAAAGCACATAGACATGCGATATTAGAATGAACAGGATAACTACATATATTGGAATAGCTTAATTAAGAATGAAAACAGACTAATACGCATTTAAACGGT